TTGTTCTCATCACCTCTTTCTTTCTTCTGCTATTTTTTTAAGCTTTTGACACTACAGTGATAGCATTCAAGGTCTTTCTTGGATTGGGATTTTCCTCTAGACTTGTCTCTTGACTTGTCATGGTTGTATATTTTTTTGTTTTTATTTCTTTCCCTATTATTAGTAACAAGGGCCTGTAACTCCTGGAAGTACCCTGCTTCTTTCTTCTAACTTATTCATTGAACATGCTGTCTTTCACCATATCTATAGTGACCATACCATTTGGAGCTGAATTGCTTACGGTCACAACCAAAGTTTCCCAACTGTCAGGCAAAGAGTTCAACATCAATAATGTTTACAACTTATCGTGTAGCACCAGCTTCATCGTTGTCAACTGATTGATTAAGCTTGGAAGTCACTCATGTGCTTTGTAACATTGCACCCATTTTTGTATTTCAAGTTTACAAGCCTTCTAATTAAAGATAGTTTTCCTCTTATACATAGCTTCCAATTTCTTCCACAAAGTGTAAGCATTGGTTTCTGGAGCCACATGGTGAAGCACACTTTGATCAACCCAATGGTGAATTTGAACAACGGTTTTTCTATTCATTATCATCAAATCTTCAACATCTACGTCGTCCGACGTTTTACTTTCACCACTAATCGGTCTATACAAGTCCTTAGTGTACTGGACATTCTTAATTCACGGTTTTCAAATTGCATAATTTGAAGAGGTCAATTTTATCATAGTCCTCGAAGTATCTTCCATTTTAAAACTCACACAAGAATTTTATCAAGCACTTGTAAGGCACAAACTGTGTGCTCTAATACCACTTGTTGGGAAAACCCCAATATTTTTCCTTCCTTGTGCAATTAGAAATGGGCAACAAACTACAAATAACAAAAAATATTATGGCTGAAAAATTAAAAGCAACAAAATAATCACAAAACACCAAATTTACGTGATTCACCAAAAATGCCTACGTCCATGGGTCCAATTCTGAATCAACTTCTACTATAAAATAATAAGGTTACAAGATATCATCTCTAATCACAACTAGAGGCATACAATCATCAAGATAATATTCTTGGGTCACTAATCAACAATTATATTATCACCACTAAGGTAAGTGTCACGACCCAAACCCGTCCCAAAGCGTTTAACATCGTAATCAGCTAGTAATTTGTGATTACCAAAGGTCTGCTTAACAATAATAACAGTTATACAATAATAGAGGCCAGCGGAAGGCTGTAAATATTAAGATACAATGTCCAAAGAGCTGTGAGGACTTACATAAACAAACAAAACAACTTATATATAAACCGATGATCACATAAGTTCATGTCCTAACATATATGTACATGACATAACTAGGGAATCAAATCCCAATAATATAACAGTCAAAACAAAAGTTTGGATCAAAACTATTTAACATAAAGGCTAAGCCGCAAGAGGGCAAGGTAAAAACACCCAAAAGCCCTGACACGTGTTGGCTTGAAACCTCGCGGTGAGGCACGATAGTTGGCTTGACAAAACGGTGGTTCAGGTCGATGCCGCTAAGTCTTCTCAAGTGCCTGATCACCTACATACATATATATATAAACAGTGAGCTAAAACCCAGTGAATAACAAATGCATAAAGGATTTATGAATGATGTCCTTTATCAATTCCAAACAGTCAATTTTAGTAAGGAATCAGTTCAATAAGCAATATTCATACACTTTAGTGTTGTAGGAAATCATTAAAGTCATACGTGGTATATCTCATAGAAGAACAGTACAGTGGGTCTTAAAGACCGAATAGTCAGTTGATAGCCATCAAACAGTAAACAGTAGTTCCAAAAATTGGAACTGATAGAGCTCTTTGTAACTGTAACAGTAACAGTAACAGTAACAATAGCAGTAGCAGTAACAATCAGTTGTTATGGATGCCCTGAGTACAGTTCATAAAATAGAACAAACATTCATTCAGGAAACGATATCATTTTAGAAAGCAGTACAGTTAAATCATTCAGAAAATAATTATAATTGAACATAGCTTTACAACATTGTTACTCACAGTGGGCTCCGTGAAACATGTGCTAAAATGCACTAAAGATGCGGCGTCCAACCTAAACACACAAATTCAATACACTATTCATTCAATCGGTTCTATTCATTCTTTACTTATTGGGTTCCTATAAGACATTCATTTTTTCAGTTTCTACTCGTTGCTTATCTGTTTGGTTAAACTTTGTTCTTTAATTCATTTGTGTTCATGAGATGCAAATGTACGTGATAAACACTTTAAAACCATGTGGTGGCCATAGCCGCTCGAGCGTGCAGAATGTGTGTTGCAAGGGAAGGTTGGCTGCTCGTGCGGCAGCCCAAGCCGCTCGAGCGTGCAGTGTGCATGTCACAAAGAGGAGTTGGCCGATCGAGCAGTGGCCCAGGCCGCTCGAGCAGTCTGGGTTGACTCCTGGCCGAAATCTACTATAATTTTGGGTCCTTTTCTTTCAAAATCTAACTTCATTTTTTACACAATTCAAGACCCAAAACCTTTCATAAACATGGTAAATAAACCATCTCTTATTTTATTTGAAATCAAAAATTCAATTTAAAACCCAAAGTCGATGCAATGAATTCAAGCTCTTGAATTTACATATCATGTTCATACAACATACAAGTTGAGCTCTAATCCTCAATTCTCATGGAATTCCCCTTTGTTTTCGAAAAACATGTAAAATAACAAATAAATGATCAGGAATTTTATAAACACTATGCCATACATGGTAAGTTTTAAACATTAATTCATCTAATTTCTTATTTCTATGATCATATATTCTCACCTCTAATTTTACTTCAAGAATTGAAATGTATAATCATAAACCTTGCGATATTAAGCTTCAAATTCTCAATTCCCATGGAGTTTTCTCACCTATTAGGAGGTTTATGCAAGAACATGAATGTATGATCATGAATATTTAAGAATCTTGCCATGCATGTATCAATTTCCATCTACATCAACAAATCTTACAAATAAACTTATGAGTTCCTTAAACACTCTTGAATTTCTTAAGTTGTGAGTACACTACTTCAATTTCATAAGATGAAAGAGTGGAGTTCTTACCTAGAGTGAACAATTTGAGTTGTCTTCAATGGTTTCCTTAACTCTCTCTTCAATTTCTTCTTCTTTTTCGTCTTCTTCTTTTTCTTCTTCTTCTTCTTCTTCTTCTTCTTCTTCTTCTTCTTCTTCTATTCTTTGTTGAACTCTCAAATGCTTACTCTCCCTTTCTTTTAACGTGTGTGTGCGCGCAAAAGACTCAACCAAACCCACTATCTTCCCTTATACCAATTAAATGGATGAATAGATGAGTAGGATTTTAAGTTTCTATTAGTTATTAATTAATTCAACTAAGTCTAATAAATCATTTCTAATTAAATTAAATTAATCCTTATCACAATATAATCTCAATTACACTAAATTTCAATATATTAGTGTGAACTAGGCTCTAATTTCTATCCAATTTCTTAATTCTAACTTGTTAAAATTAACGAATCAGACAGGTGTAATTTTCACGCTAACCTATCTGTCCACAATAACACAATTCAAATAATCATATGGCGAATCAATAACACTTGATGGCACATAATCACATAATTAACAATAAACATATAATCAATATAATTAATTTGCTTAATTAAGGAAGTGGCTGTCACAGTAAGCTTCAACAAAATCAACTAGAGATAAAGTTTAGGTACCAAAGTGAATATATCAAACTACCAATCCAAGAGAGTTTTGACAAGATCTGCTCCAATCAAAACGTAGAGCTTATCTTCATGAACAACCCACTAGAATTTCAACAAGATCGGGTAAAAAATGGCAAACCAATCTTGACTTGAACTATGGAAGAAAACCTAGCTCTTTCTTCACTTTTATCTCTCTCTCGGCTCTTTTCTATTTTGTTGCTGTGTGTGTTGTTTGAAATTAGAGACCAAAAGTCTCTTTTCCATCCTTTAGTCTTTGGACGCCACAAAAATTCCAAGAGAAGGTTTACAAACAATAATAAAATAAAAAACTTGTTGACTCATTTGAGTCTTGTATGGACCCAACCCCAACTAGGAGGGATACCATCTAACACAATTTATGTGTTTAGTTTATTAAAAAAGATTCATCTTGTGATGAAAATATTGTATTCCAATATATTCTTTAGAGCATTTTCAATTGTCGCTCGATGAAGAAAAATCTTTGAATTCTATCTAAATAAATAAATAAATATACGGCATTGTTATTCTAATATAAAAGTTAGATTTATTTTTCAAACTCATTGACGTGACAATCAATCTAAGGTAACTCTCTCACTCTCATATATTCTCTAATTATTAGTCAATCATCTCTTTTATACATCACTAGGTAAATGTGAATGAAATATAAGTTTCTTTTTTTTTTTCTTTTTTTCTTTATCTTTTTAAATTTCTATCAAAATTAATGATCCAAACACGACGTAAGGAAATATAGAATTGACAAATAGTTTTATGGATTCAATTCTAGTAATCTAAAAATTTAGGACATTCTCAAGATAAAAAGAAAGTAACAATGGATATCAAGTCCCACCCTCTCCCCCCCCTCCCCGGGAGTGATTTTTATAGAGTAAATGATATTCAGACATAATATCGAATTTTCATACATCTATAAATTTTGATTGAAGAAACCAAAAATAATACATGCTTGGAATTCTTCACCGTGTTGCTGATGGTAACTAAAAAAAAAACCGATCACTTTTCTTGCCGAAAATGCCAGGGCCATATGCTGAAGAGATGAGATCCACAAGGAGGGGAAACTGCAAGAACACGAAAGAAGTGATTGGTAGACATGCTAATGCAACCACTGGAATAAGTATCCATTCCCTATTGTTGCCAAACACAAGATAGAGTGTGGAACTGAAGGCTAGAATCATGGTTGTTATGGACATGAACAAGGTAACAAGACCAATTATCAACCTCTTAGGCAAAACATAAAGAAAATCACCCTCTACATAGCATCAAGTGAGGATAGACAAGAACATTAACAGAGACATGGTGGATGTGAATAGAGAGATTGCATCTGAAACGATAAAGACAATAAATGCGTTTGCTTTTGAGAAAACCGGGATGCCATTTGTGCCATTGGTGCCACCTGGAACAGTGATTACAGCTGCAAATGCTATAGTGGCAATGAGTGCTGCCGCTATTGTGCAAGAGTTCGTAGTGTCTTTCATCCATTTTTCTCCTTCTTCCACTAATTTTTTGTGTTCTTTGGTAAATACCATTGAAGGAAATTCATTTCCTTCATTTTGATACTCTTTGTAACCGGGTGTTACAAACTTCTCCACTTCCTGCATGATAGCCATAGATTTGAAATAATGAAATATATTTGACTTGTTTCTTAGATAATGTCAGAAACTAAATTTTGAATTTATATTTGAACCAAATTTTGTACTATGCTTTACCAATGAAAAACATGCACATGCTCACAAATAAATGTAATAGACTTCAATGGCATGATAATAAATTTGGGTATCAAATTTTGAATAACATGTGTTCCATACTAATGCATTCTTGTCATATCAGATATCCAAAATTGATTACCCAAGTTTGATTACCACAACATCATTGTTAATAAATAAGTCATGGAATATTAGAATGGAATATATTTATTACCTTAAACCATTGTAACTCACGTTGCATTTGCAAAGCTGCACCCGGAACAAGATTGAGCTTGTCAAAAGGTGCTAATCGTCCAGCCAAGTGCAACATAGTGTTCCAATTTTTGTCCACCACGAACATCATATCTTGTTTATGTCGACTCATTTGATAGATGAGGTTGAAAACATTTTCACAACGATATATAACTGCCAGTCCAAATATGTTATAACCATCTTTGTCCACATACCAAAGTGCTCGAGGAAATGATTCAACAACCTCTTCAACAACCTCATGAATCCCATACCTTGTAGCTATAAGGATTACATAGCAAATTAATTCATAAACCTCTGAGTCATTTGAAGATCCACTTTTCTCACACAAGGATTTGACCAGTTGAATTGCTTGAAAATGCATCAATTTTTGCTTTTGGACACGTTTTATGTGAGGCACTGCAATAATAGAACTCAAAGATGCAATAAATTTTGTTGAAAGTGTATAAGAAAACAAGAAAAATAATTGAATCAATCTATATTTTAACTAAGTGGTCTTCCTTGTCAATTACCTAATAATTCAAGAACTTTCCAAAGCATAGCCTGTAATTTTCAGCTCACTGTATGTCATAAAACAAATTAAACTTGTTGGCATATGGAAGGAAATGTTAAATTTAATAACAAAGGCATTTGAACGTATTCCCGGTAAAAAATCTGTTTAATTAACATATAAGTGTATTGTATAATCGACAAACTAGCACAAATTTTGACAAGTGAGTTTTAGCAATTATTCGCATCTAAAATCCTATCACATTTTGAAAGAGGTAATAGACACTAATGATATGCTACCCTAAAATGAGGACTAATTCATTTGCCACAACATTTTACATGATGATCTATTTGCTATTCACCCCCAATGCCATTGCGTGGATTTGAATTATGAGAATCAATTTCCCCACGGAAAATAAGGGAAATCTTCTTAATAATAACGTCTCTTCAAACCATACTACAAGCTCGATCCAAGCCTGAGTATGATTTTTTTTTCTCAAAGGGCAAACTGCACGGACCTCCCTTGAGGTTCATGACTAGTTGAAATTCTCCTTGACAATCCAAAAATTACACTGATTCCCTATTAGAGTTTGAATTTCAATAGGATTAACTAAAGTATAAAAGTACTAAATTACCCTTACCCAATAATGTCAAATTGCCATACTACCTTAATTATTTCATCAATCTCTATGTTTCCTACCAATACTCACCACCTCACCTCTACCGCCTTACTTTATTCCTTTCCCTTTTCACTTTCTTTTCCCTAACGCCCATCTACCACTATGAACGACAACCCCGTTACTTCTACTACCTCTGTGTGGTCACTATCTCCACCTCTATGCATCTACAACCTTACCTCTGTCTCTACCTTTCTGTGACCATCGCATCCACAAACATGCAATGGCCAATGACATTGGCCACTAGTGGTATTGTTTGACGTGCAGTGGCCACTGGTGTTTTGTGGCGTTCGGCATGTGAAGGCCACTGGCATTCGCCATGTGATAAATCCTATTCAAAGTCAATTATTAAGACCCAATATTTATGATTCTTTTCTCTCTCTTCTTCTCATTTTCCTTTTTTTGCACCTCTTTCTCTTTCAATTGCTTTGTTCCTCTTATTCTGCCACAACATGCCTCTTTTTTCCATTGCCTAATGCCATAAGCTTATGACCACACTAAATTCATTTCCCAAACTCTCTTGGAGCTTTGATGTGCATTGATTTGATGTTTGGAAGGTTCGTGGGGATGGGTGTAATTTTTTTGGCATTGCTATTAGGAATGGTTTTTGGGTTATTGGCAATAGATTATTGGAGTGACTGTTGGGGAGTCATTTTCTACATTATCATGACACCACCACTTTCTCTTGTACCATCCCAATATTCTCTCTGTCTGTTTGTCTCTCTTTCTCTGTCTTCCTTGGTTATGGTTGGATTGATATATGGCAATTTAGCTAGGTAGATTGGTTGTAGTGGGGTATCAATTGTTGGTATTTGTTGGTGATGGCTGGAGAGCGTTAGAGGTGGCAGTAGTTGGTGGTGATGGCTTCGGAGTGGGAGGTAGTGATAGTTGATGGCTGATAGTTGTAAAAGTGGTGGAGGGTGGAACTCTGTTTCTACATTTCAATGGAGAAGGAGAGACTAATGGAACTATTGTGTAAAAGAATTTTATAAAGGTAAATATGACATTTTCAAAAAATTAAATGTTGATATAAGTAGAATATGTTAGTTAATGTAAGTGTCAACTAACATTGGGGAATTTTTTGTAGTGCAATTATTAACCTTAATAAGGGGACATTTTTTTTTTTGATTAGCAAAAGAAAACTTTCTTGATGAACCACATATAAATTACATATGATAGGCAAACATCAATAAAGAGGAGCTTGGAGTTAGAAAAAGCTCCAACCTCCTAGTTCGTGAGAAATCAACAACACAAAACAAAGCATAAGCAACACCTAATTGACAGCAGCAACAGATAGACATGCAGCAGCAGATCAATTTTCACACTTCATAATTAATTTCCAAAATCAACAGCAGATAGACATGCTCCAACCTCCTAATTACTAAAATAGACATGCAGCAACAGATCAATTGACACCCTTTCATCACAAAGCCTCATGAGGTATTGAAGATAGCATCACAACAACACTGCAAACCTACAACCTGTGCCTCCATTACTACTGCAAGAAACAGAGATGCTCTGTCTGGAGAACACCACAAACTAGAATAAAACATGCAGTAACAGTTAACAAGAAGCAGTTTATTTGAGGCCTAAAACATGCAGTAGCAATAAAAACATGTAACACCAATTCACACCCTTCTATCACAACAGCAACACCCAAGCTCACCCAAGCATCATAGCATCCATTCAACACATTACATGTAAGTAAAATGCAGAAGCAGTTTATTTGAGGGCTTCACACACTAAGCTCCAACCACCTAATTGACAGCAACACAGCACCCATCACAGCAACACTGTACCACCAAGGCACAATCTGATCTGCTTTATATTACAAATGAAATCATTGATTATGAAATTAAATTCCTTCAGATGTGGGTTCATCCACAAAGCAATCCTAGTCATGATCAGCTCACACATCTCAAACCAATTTGGGATAGCAGCCAAAAAAACACATTCATTTCTAAGTTTCCAAATTGACCACAACACAGCCAACGGAATGGCACTCCAAATCTTTCTTTCCAACCTCTTCATTCTCCCACCTGCCCACCATAACAACAGCTGGTCCACAAATTCAGGTAATGCCCCCTGAGTCCCCCACCAATTCAACAGCTCAGCCCATACACTCCACACAAAAGGACAGCAAATTAAGACATGATTCACAGATTCAGTGGCAGCCTTACAGAGCACACACAGGGATGAGCTAGATACCTGAATCACACTAACTCTTTGTAAGAATTCAACTATCTTGATTCTCTTTTTCCAAGCTAACCACCCAAACACTTGGACCTTAGGAGGGATAAATCTCAGCCACACCAATTTACAAATTCTAAGAGTTGGGCCTAAATTATACACAACAGCATTATACATTACAGCCACAGAGCACTGACCTGACTTAGAAGCTACCTAAACAGGTCTATCCACCTAGTCTAGACTCAATACAGGACCTGCTGCCAGCAGGTTTAAAATATTCTGCAACTCCACCTCCTCTCACACATACAATACTCTTCTGAATGATAGATTCCAAACCCCTACTGCATCTTTCCTATCAAAGATATCTCTCAATGAGTCATTTTTCTCTAGAGACAGCCTATAAAGGCCTGGAAACACTTCTTTCAAACATAGTTGCTGACACCACTTATCAATCCAAAAGCTTATTCTTCTACCATCCCCAACCTTCAATTGGAAATTTTCCAGGAAGACTTCTAGCAGATTATTACTTTGATCAGCTAGACTTGTGATACCTTTCCATAACACTGAAGAGTTACTACTAACTATAACAGAAGGCAACCAGCTATCCACCTTTAACTTGTACCTGATGCATATAACCTTCTTCCATAAAGCTTCATTCTCACAACTAAACCAGCATCACCATTTTACAAGTAGACAAAATTTACCACTCTCACCCTCCTTATACCCAAACCTCCTTGGTCCATACTTTTACACACATCCATCCATCTGACCATATGGATTTTTCTTCTTAGTTTTACCCCTCCCTACAGAAAAGCAGCTTTCAACCTCTCTATTTCTTTGGCAACCCCTTTAGGAATCCTAAACAGGGACAGATAATACACTAGTAGTGTAGATAAAACAGCTTTCACAAGCGTTAATCTCCCAGCAAATGACAACCACTTTCTCTTCCAACCAGCCAACCTACATCTGACTTTATCTAGGACAGGCTTCCAAGTAGCTTTCCTCCTTAGATTGGCTCCTAAAGGTAACCCAAGATATCTGATGGGTAGAGACTTTATATTGCAATTAAATACTGAAGCAAAACAGTTCATAGTATCATCTGAGACCCTCACCCCACACACTACACTTTTATGATAGTTAATTCTCAATCCAGACATTAACTCAAAGCATCTTAACACCCTTTTCAAATTCCTTACCTCTTCAACCTCTGCTGCACAGAATAATAGGGAGTCATCTACGAACTAAAGATAGGAGAGTATAACACTATTTGATCCAACCTTGACCCCTTGAATTAGACCTAACTCCTAAGCTCTAGACAACAAAATGTGTAATCCTTCAGCAACCAAGTTAAATAGAAAAAAGGGACAAAGGATACCCCTGCCGTAAACCCCTTTGTGGACTGAACTCTTCCGTTGGAGACCCATTAAGAAGAATTGAAATTCTCGAAGTTGTTACACATTCTTTGATCCACCTGGTCCATTTAGCCCCAAAACCAAACTTAGAAATTATAGAGAGTAAAAAACCCCAATTAATGGAGTCATATGCCTTCTCAAAATCCAACTTGATAATAAGACCCTTCCTCTTTGGCTTCTTCCACCCACCACCCACTTCATTCGCTTATAATACCCCATCTAGGATGTTCCTCCCACTTAGAAACGCTGTCTGTGTTTCACTAATTATATGAGGCATCACTACTTTCAGCCTATGAGACAATAACTTTGCTATAATCTTATATATTGAACCCACCAAGCTTATCGGCCTATAGTCATTTAACCCTACAGGGTTCTCCTTTTTAGGTACAAGGGTGATGAAGAAACTGTTAATTCCTTTTACCAACTTGCCATTTTTATGAAATTCCTGCACAAACTTAACCACTTCAGTCCTCATCACTTTCCAAAATTTCTGAAAACATCCCATTTTTATGAAATTCCTGCACAAACTTAACCACTTCAATCCATCACTGCAGCTTTAATTTCAGTTTCTGAGAACTCTGCGTCCAACCTGACAAAATCACCACTTCCTTGTACTGAGTTGAAGGTCACTCTTAGTTCAGGTCTCCCATTCCAATCTTCAGAAAAATGGCTCTGAAAATGTTGAAGCACTTTGTTCTTCATATGATAAGGATCCTCATATACCACCCCCTTCTGAGATTGAATTTATTTCATTCCTTAATTGTCTACATTTTGTCATGACATGGAAGAATCTTGTGTTCCTGTCTCCCAACAATGCCTAATTCATCCTTGATTTCTGTAGCCACAGTCTCTCCACCATCTTGCTCAAGCTCCATACCTCTCCTCTAACCTTTCTCCTCCTTCTTATTTCTGCCTTATCAAGTTCTCTAACCTCCGTAACAAGCTCTAACCTGTGCAATTCAACCTCTACTACTTTCAGCTTATTAGCAATGTTCCTAAACACCTCCACATTCCATTTCTTTAGGCTAACCTTCAAATACTTTAATTTTTCCAACAGAATATACCCAGCCCACCCCACTACAACAGACTCTTTCCAGCTATTTTTCCAAAAAAAGTCGAAGTTTTTGTGAATGAACCATGCATTTTGACGCCTAAAGGGTTTTAGGCCCCAATCCCTCTCATCCTCCTTCAATAGGAGAGGGCTATGATCAGATAGCAATCTAGGCAAACCCCACAACTTCACCTGGAATACCTCCAGCCACTTTGAATCAACTAGCACTCTATCAATTCTACTCCACTTTTCACCTTAACTTAAGTTACACCAGGTAAACTTCCTACCAAGTAGTGGCAAGTCTGACACTTCGCACCTATCAATAAATTCATTAAACTCCCTCATTCCCCGATCTCTCCTTGAGCATCCTTTCCTTTCGCCAATGTTTCTTATTTCATTAAAATCCCCACATAAACGACGTCGTTTCGGTGAGTAAATTGAAAAAAAAAACAAAGTGAGAGAGAGAATGAGAGAGAGAGAGAGAGAGAGAGAGAGATAAGAACAAATAAACAAAAACAGAGTGAGAGAATGGACTTGGATTCTCTGCCAGCATCGCCAGATTCCTCCCTCATAGTCGCTGGAGCCATCTCCGACTTCTTCTTCTTCTCCTTCTTTCACTAACCGTCGCCCCTCTTTCTTCTACCAAAAAATCTTCAACATCAAACCTTCTCTTAATTACACACCACCAGTTTGGTTCAATCCTTTTAAAACATTGATTTCTGACTGTTTTCAACAGCCGAAAACAAAAAACTTTGTGAAATACCCAAATTAAATTTCTGAACATTCCAAGTATATCATTCACAAACCTAGAAAAAAGTAAAATAAAAAAAAGAAAAGAAAATTTGTCAAATAGAAACTATTTTCTTAGTGGGTATCCAAGAAACATAAATTTTATAGATCCTGAAACACTTAAAACCTCTACGGGTTTGACATACCTTGATACTGAGAGAGCTTTTTTGGGAGCAAACCCACATGAATTTATGAGGAAATGGACTCTGAATGAGTGTTGATTTGAAATTTTTTGATGGGTTTGGTTGATAATGATAATGAAGAAAATAGGTGAATTGGTGATGCTGAGATTAATCTAAGAACATTTGTTAAAGTTACTTCTCAGCTCCTTTTCTCTCGTGCTTGATCTGTAGAAACGAAGAATTTTTTTGTTCTACCGACTATAACAACATCTTATTCTCTCTCTATCTTCTTCTTCTCTCTCTCTCTCTCTCTCTCTCTCACTCTATTTTTGTTTTGCTGTTCTTGTCTCAAGTCCCTTCCTTCTTTCTGCTGTATCGCAAAAGGCACCATTGCACTAAGGGGAGGAGAACTAAAAGAAAGAAGAAAGAAGTGGTGTGAGAGGGAGGAGAACGAAAAGAAGGAAGAGAGAAGCGGTGTGGGCGATAGACAGCGAGGATGATGGAGGCGACGAATCGTTGGGGATGGGCAAGTGCGACGACGGAGAGAGTGCCAGCGAGGGAGGCTGTGCCGGAGTGGGGTTAAGTTTAGGGATGGGGTCGGTGATGGAAGTGAAACCCAAAACAAAAGAAATTTGAATTATATTACTCTAGAGGATCTTTACGCATTTTGACCAACAAAAAAACAAATATTTTATCATTTAATCATTACTTCTATTATTAAACGGAGTGTTTAGTTTACTAAAAATCCTCATACATATTGATTTGTAATTATGATTCAATTTTAAATAATGAATAACAATCTCAATGAAACAATTAATAACAAATTGGCACAACGATTTAACATGAACAAAATCACAATTAGAGCAACTCCAATTGTGATTAAAAAAAATCACGGGCCAAAATCACAAAATAATCCACTAAGAAGACAAAAAGAATTTACACACAAGAACCCTCAATTATCTTGCGAATCCACCCATGAATTAAACCAAAGCATATGTGCCTCTTCCACTACCGTTTTCACCTCGAAATTTCTTTGTCCAACGTTGAATCCACAACGCCAATGTCGAATCCACGACAATAAGCCACTTTGAAATCCACCAAAGCTTTAGGCCTCAGTTTCTCGAAATCTACCAATGAACATCTCTCTTTTTATGTGAATGAAAGAACAAAAAAACCCTAGATGATAGTCAATATGAAACTTGTTGATCAATGGATCACCCTCAAATCATCAAGGAAACTCATATATAAACACTCTTTAATATAGAACACTTTGTTTTTTACTCCTCTCTGAGAATCTAGATGGGTTAAATCCTAAAAATAGCAAACGATGCACTTTTATACTAAACAGATCTGTGAAGATCGCTCGAGCGCACACTTTATCGCTTGAGCAGTGTGAGTAAAGAACACAACAACAAATTTGGGATTTAAAGACGAAACAAATTTGTCCCAAAATGTATATATTTTGTCACCCAAACTAATTACGACGAACATTTTTTGTCACCCGTTTTGTCGCCAAAGGGTCGTCGCTAAAGGGTCTTAGAGACGAAAAAAAAAATTCGTCATTGAAAATGATAAATTTGTGACGAATTTTTTTGTCTCCAATACACTCTGTTGGGAACATACTTGTAAGTAATTAGCGACAAAATATTTTGTCATTAAATGAGAAATTAGAGACAAAAGTATTTTGTCATAAATATAAGAAATAGAGACGAAATAATTTTGTCACGTTTAATATAAACGAAGACGAAAAATTTTTGTCAAAGAAGCTTCCAATAGAGACAAAAACAAATTCATCATTAAAAATGATAAATTTGTGATGAATTTTTTTTCTCTCCAATACTCTATTGGGAACATACTTGTAAGTAATTAGCGACAAAATATTCTGTCATTAAAAAAACAAATTAGAGACAAAAGTATTTTTTCATAAATATAAGAAATAGAGACGAAATAATTTTGTCACGTTTAATATAAATGAAGACAAAAAAATTTTGTCAGAGAAGCTACCAATAGAGACAAAAACAAATTCATCATTAAAAATGATAAATTTGTGACGAATTTTTTTGTCTTCGATACACTCTGTTGGGAACATACTTGTAAGTAATTAACGACAAAATATTTTGTCATTAAAGGAGAAATTAGAAACAAAAGTATTTTGTCATAAATATAAGAAATGGAGACAATAATTTTGTCACGTTTAATATAAACGAAGACGAATTTTTTTTTTTCAAAGAAGCTACCAATAGTGATAAAAACAAATTCATCATTAAAAATGATGAAATAATGTCAAACAAATTCGTCACACATGAGGGTAATAGTGACAAAATGTGACAATATTTTTTGTCATGACAAATTTATTTAGCAACGAAATAAAGAATTCATGACAAAATTAATCATCCACCTAAGCCGAATAAGAGAAAAAAAACCTTATTTAGGGATGGAAAATTTTGTCAGTAATTCCATAATATTTTTTTCCACATTATATACCTATTTTTATCAAAATCTAAATTTTAGTTCAACAAATATAACCCTATTCATGTTGAAACCTGTTGAATATAACAATTCCATCACAACTTAACGTAACCTGTTATCAACACATTTACGAATTAACAAAATGAAAATATCCATTCATCATTACAAATAATTTCATCCTAATACAATAAACTAGTGAAATATTCACAAAATATCCAAAAGTTATAACTGGTTCAATTCCACCAAAAATCCAACAATAACTAGTGCAACTCCAAAAAGTGTGTATCCTTATCAAACAAAAATGAACATTCAAGCAAATTACATCATTGTTGCACGTCAAAAATGCCACCCCAATCCAATCTGTAAAAAAATAAATTAAAAGTTTTAGTAATTAATCAATTATACAAAAGATTAAAAACATTAGTAACTCATCAATTTACAATTAGATCAATTATACAATTTATCCCTATAACAGACTTTTTTTGAGATTATGAGAACAAAAAATTCATTTTAAGGCTAATTCACAAATTGTGCATCCCATTAATGTGCCGTAAGTTCATACAACTTATATTGGTCCCTCCTAAGGTGTTTCTATTGGTTCATGTATAAATCTATAGTTGTGTGATAATTTAGCATTTCGACGGCCTTTTTTGAAGCTTTAAGTATAGAGAAAAAAAAATATTTTTTAAATTAATTCACAATTTATACATCCCGTACACCTGTACAAATTGGATGTCATATGCATGTTTCCACTACTTCCTAACTCTTCAAACATGTGTTCTTTTGTAAAATTTGTTATATTGAAGTTAATATACTTTACCAAGAAGTATGCCCACTTGTGGATGAGTCCCCTCCACTTCCAAAGTGTCCAGTGAATCCTTTGGTCCTCAAAAAGTTGACAACATCAGCCATTATCTCCCCTTGCTTCTTCTTACCCTCTTCAAGATCTTCTATTTTTATTGTTCTGCATTTGTATTTGTTTCTTCTGTGTCTCTATTTGCATCTCAAGGCGCTTCACATAATTATTTGTTTCAGCATATATGATAGTGGTCCTCCTAATAGAGAATGAAGGTCTCATGCCAAGTCCCTTCACATAGCCAGACCTTGGCTTTAGGACTTTGATTGATAGCTCTTCTGCAGTCAGAGGGGTTGATCCCAGCTGTGAGAGGTGATCAGCCTGTGTCTGTATCATATTTTCCTATTAAATATAAAAAATTAAATAATTATTAGAAAATTAAATAAGATTATAACAAATAGTATTCTAAAATTTTGTTAATAAAAATTGCAATATATACTCACATAATTACACTGAGCTTGAGATGAGATCCACTCATGTGTTTTCTCATTACAGTGAGTTTCCTTGTACAACTCTGCTAGATCAGGTAGCGTCTTCTTTTCTCGTGCCTAATTCGATAGACCAAATATTCAATAAATAAAGCTAAGAATCTAATATAATTTTGAAAGTGCAAGGATACGTACCAGTTTTTCTACTCTAACAGGGATTGACCTAGAACCACACCTATGTTTTGTATACATCCTTTCTCTGTTCGCGATGTTGGCCTTTGATTGTTCCTATACGGAAGAATGACCAATGTAACAATGAAATGTATCATTAGTAAGACAAATATGTTGGCTTTTGATTGAGACTGTTTAGGAAGTAAAAGAAACATATGGTACACACCCTTCAAAAAATAACACAAAATATAGTTAAAATAATGTTATAATTAATATCGTAATGATTCATAACTAACAATACCATAAATCAAAACCAAAATCCACCAATATTAGAAACATATGGTACGCACCCTTGAAATTTTCCTATGCTTTATTATGGAACAAGGGACCACTTGCCCATATGGGAGGCATTTAAAACAGAGAACTCCAATTCTTTAATCCTTGAGACTGTTTAGGAAGTAAAAGAACTTTTCACAAAGATTCAAAACTGATCTTGATCTTTTCAAGATAACTAAAATAATATAATAACCGTTTTAACAAAACTAAGAACAAAAATAAAATAATGATGAGATTTGCTACAATTGAATACCCCAAAAGCATACCTAAAATATAAAACATATGGTACAGAGGACAAGTCCAAAAGACACTTTTGTTTATGGAGTCTTGTTGATAGGAATCTCTGTGGGCTCTCTCCTCATGCCTCCCCATTTTCAAAAGCATCCTATAGTAACAGAACTTTCACATTCACAAGTTTCATTATCACCATCTTCACCACCACTCTAGGAAAATTAGCTGGACTTCCCATTTTGCTGGATGTCAAGTCCTTATCTCTCTCAATAATTGAGTGTACTCATACAAATACACAGCACCTTATGGCCGCATGGCCAAACCATACCCATATACATATATGTACATTTTGTAGTTTGAATTGGTTCATACCATGCCCCCAAGCTTATTCAGGAGCTAAGCTAAGTTGTGAATCGATGGGGCACTCGAGGCATAGGTAGAACCACATCGCGACCAGTTTCTATCAAGTTGAGACGATTTGGTATTGTTTTATCAAACAGCCTGTTGTCAGGATTTTCAGCATAGCACGCATAGTAACAGCTCACACAAGCATGAGGCAGTGCCATGGCAATCCTGGTCTGCCATGTTTAAAAAAAAAAAAAATATCAAACACGTTAATCCAAGTTGATCACATGATGACTTAAAATGTACAATTGAACAATCAACTATGCTAGTAGTACTGTTATGTTACTACCATTAGGTAGCCGATGAAGAAGGCTAGAAGGGAGATGGTGGCTGTGAAACCCTGGTGGACTCTAGCAGTCCAAGCAGCTACAACAATAACACAGATTGAGCCGCTGCAAACTCCTGTGAAGAAGCAGATTGAGCTGGTCATGTCCGAGTCAACAATGGTTTCCATTTTTCGCTCCTGAAATAGCTTCCAAGTATCTTGTGATGCTTGCACAAACCCTTTTCCGTATTCCGCTATCTGCAACATTCCTTTGAATGAACATCTTAGAAAGCCTAATTGTTATAGTATAGTGACCAATTCCATTAAATAAATAAATAAAATTAAAGAAACAAAGATGAATCTAATTTGGAACTTTTTATCACTATGAATGAGCAATAAAAGATGCATTTATAAACTTCTTGAATAACCCATTAAAGATGAGATTATATCTAAAATAACCAGTGAAATGGTTTCTTAATGAATTAGGTTAAGTTGTCTAGCAAGGGGAATTGCAAACTTACAACAAAAGAAATCAATAGATTTTTGTAACAAACATGGCCGTATCAAAATTAATTATATTCAAAGAAAAGACATCACCATCACAGAATCATCTAATGCTTCTTTTTTGTTATAATAAATTATTTTTACTTATGCCAAGAATTTATACTAAAAAAGAGACTTGGTAAATTGACATTATTAAGTCCCATTTAAACACTCAGAACAAGCATCCAAGTTAAACACTAAACTCCAAATTGAAAAGCCCCAAATTTTGAAATTGAAAAACCCTAAACCCCAATTTTCAAATTGAAAAGCCTCAAATCAAAATTCAAAACCTAGTATCTGAACATGCATCTGAAATTGGGCGGTGGGAGGGAAGGTGCGAGAGCTCCGGCCGGAGGGAGAGGTGAGACGGCTCTGTTTGCTTCGTTCGCGGGTATTCGTTGATCGGAAGGAGAAGGGAAGACCGGAGGGAGAAGCGAAGACGAACGAGGCTACAAAGGAGGTAACTCCGAAGAATTGCTCGAATGAAGCAATGGCCGTCATGAGCGAAACAATGGCTGTTGCTCATCTCTCTTCATGGTCTCTCTTCCCTCTTTCTCTTCTTCGTCTTCTCTCTCTCTCACACGTCTCCTAATAGTTTTTCTTTATTTTTCCCTTTTGTTTTGTTTTGTGTTTTTTTTTTTTTTTTTTTTTTTTTTTTTTTTTTTTTTTGGGGACTCCAGGGAGTTTAGACAAAATTTTGGGGGGAAATTTTTGAAGGCTTGTTTCATAGTGAAATTTGAATTTGGGACAAAATTTTGAAGTAAAAATTGATTTTAATTTATATTTTTTTAAGTTTTATTATTTATGTTTGTAATTTTATCTTTATTAAATTTTAATTAATATTTTGAATGAAAAAATAAATTTAAGAAATTTTATGATTTTAATCAATAAATAATAATTCTATTACAAAATAATTACTATTATGTTCTTAATAATTTATGATACACAACCGAAGAGAAGAGATGAGATGACTTGGTAACCCTAGCAACTGATTCAGCCTTCATCATTATCAGAGAGAGAGAGAGAGAGAGATTGAAACTCTTGTGATGTTCCATTCTGTTTAGAGGAAGGCAAAATAGTTATTTTGGGAGAAAAAAAATTGCCCCAAATTTCATTTTGGCGTTTTTTTTTTTATCATACAATTCACGACATACATTGTGCGTCGTAAAAAGGCAATACCTTTAATGGCAGGCAATGTGTGCGTTGTAAAAAGTGCAATACTTTTAACGGCGAGCATTGCGTGTGCCCTGAAAAAACGTATTCACTTTTCATGGCTGGTGTATGTGTGTCGTGTATAATTGATGTATTAATGGCACGCCATATGCACGTCGTAGAAAATTTTATTATTTACGGCGTGCATTGGAAGTCGTAAAAACATCATCGTTATTATCATTCACAGCCTACGCAATAGATACGCCATGGTTGGAAAAGTATTTACGATGTGCAAAAAAAGCAAGTCGTAAAAGTGAGAAACTACGGCGTGCATTTGTTGTATGTCGTTGATGTGGTACCATAAAAAGTCAGTTTTGTTGTAGTGGAGGAGGGCAGAGGCGTGAGGCGTGAGAGAAGAGAAAGGGGAGGTGAGGTCATGTAGGATGAGGTTTGGTGGTCAAATCTGTGTGTGAGAAGAAGAACTGATATATTTAAGGCGCCAATATATTCATTTCCCTCTAAAAACCTTTAGCAACTAAACCATTTATTTGGTGGATTGGTGTACTTTTTATTTTGAAATTGACGTCGTCGCCAAAAGTAGTTGCCAAAAGTGCAATTTCTTTAGTGCCCCTCAAATTTGAATTTTGAAATGGATTGGTGTACTTTTTATTTTTTGTTTTATATATTTGATATACTTTTCATTTGAAAGTCATAAATTAAGAGATATTAATTAATTAATTAATATTATTATTATTTATTTTGCTTGAATGAAAGCTATAGAGGATTTTTTTAATTATTTAAAATCAAAAAATTTGAAATTTTAGTTTGAAATATTGAAACTCACACAAGACTTGTGGTTAGAAACCCTGTTTTACTTATATAATATATATATAGAGACAGATAGATTGATTTAATAAGAATTTATATTTGTTTTAGATATTTTTTTAATATACAAATTATTTTTTTTAATTTTTTTTATAAAAATAATTTAACAATCCCATTAATAACCATAGTGTACGAGAGAAGTTGAAAATGATGTAATTTTGCTTGAATGAAAGCAATAGAGGACTTTTTTAATTATTTAAAATCAAAAAATTAGAAATTTTAGTTTGAGATATTGAAACTCCCACAAGACTTGTGGTTAGTGTAACGCCCTCAAAAAAAATAACACATTTTACTTATATAATATATATATATATATATATATAAAGAGAGAGAGATAGATAGATTTAATAAGAATTTATATTTGTTTTAGATATTTTTTTAATATACAAATTAATTTTTTTTAAATTTTTATAAAAATAATTTAACGATATCATCAATAACTATAGCGTATGGGAGAAGTTGAAAATGGTGTAATTTTGCTTGAATATAAGCTATAGAGAATTTTTTTAATTATTTAAAATAAAAAAAAATTAGAATTTTTAGTTTAAGATATTGAAGCTCCCGCAAGACTTGTGGTTAGAAATCCCATTTTACTTATATATATATTTAATAAGAATTTATATTCGTTTTACATATTTTTTTAATATACAAATTATTTTTTTGAGATTTTTTATAAAAATAATTTAACAATTCCATTAATAACCATAATGTATGGGAGAAGTTGAAAATGGTGTAAGAGTAGGTATGAGAGAAGTCAAAAAGACTTGTAGGTATGGGAGAAGCCAATAAATGCTGAATTTTTTTTTTAATAAAAAATTTGGAAAAATAAGATTGGGATATTGGAACTCCCACAAGGCTTGTAAGTTAAAAATCTCATTTTCCTTATATAATATATAGATAGATAGATAGATAGATATAGATATGGCACATACCATTTATATGACACGAGGACCAAAGTACTAGGACAACTGCTACAATTTGCCCTCATCTAAATTAAGGGGATTTAAAAAGAAAAAAAAAAGAAAAAGAAAAAAAATTATAATATTAAAAAATATTCACTAAAAAAATATAGATTAAAAATTAAAAATTAATTATTGAAAACTCCATACTAAACAAGGTAATGTTTTCTGTTAATTTTGAAAATTAAAAAATTATTATTAATTTTTCCTTTGTTTTTTTTTTTCTCACGAAAAAATAGTTACATTAATTATCTTCTTTTTATTTTTTTCTTTTTTTTTCTTTTTTTTCTTCTTTTTTTTTTTTTGTGGAGAGGGGTTTTGACCTGCGATTTTTCTAAAATGGGTGTTCTTGACGGAAAGGGTAGAGTTGGTTCAAACAATGAGAAAAAGTGTTTATGCAAGAGGCACCTTTCACTATGAGAAAGAATAGTCGATTTTGCATAGGGTGCCTTCTTGGATAATAGCTTCAATACTAACATGCATGAAGGGCTTAAGTGTGAGACATATGAGAGGGGCTTTAGTGCAAAAATAGAAAAAATGGTTTACAGAGTGTCTTCTTGCTTCACGACTTCAATATTTGTGAGAGAGGAGCAAACTCAAGTGCGAGAGAGAAATGAGAGTTTGTAGGAAGTGTCTTCTTGGGTCACGACTTGAGTGTCCGTGCACATGAAAATGAGTGATAAGGGTCAGAGTGTGTCTCTTGAGGTCGCGGTTTCAGTGCTCCGAAATACAAAACCATAGCATTTTAATAAAGAAAAATAATTAGTGATAAAATATTTGTCTCCTTAAATACAAGAACAGAGAATTTATTATTGGTGACGAAATATTTTTGTCTTCCACAACATAACCTTATGAGACGAAAAATATATTCGTCGCGCAATTAATCAGAATTTATTAGTGACGAAATATTTTCATTTCCGACAACTTACTCTTCCAAGACAAAAATATATTTGTCGCCCATTTAATAAAAAGATGAAACGACATCGTTTGCATGATGGAATGTTTATTGGTGACAATATATTTTCGTCTTCCATAACTTATCATTCCTAGACAAAATTATATTGGTCGCCTAATAAATGGAAATATGCAATGACATCGTTTAATAGGTAGGGAATTTATTGGTGACAAATTACGTTCGTCGCAAAATATATATATATATATATGATTATGTTTGTGAAAAAATGTTAGTCTCCGCATGGAGTAAAAATTCGCTGCAATGCAATGGAAATTGGCGCTGAATGTTTGCGACGAAATTTCTTTTTTGCGTCTCGATTATAGCGTTTTGAGAAAAATTAAAACAAGCGACAAAATTAATATTTTGTCATCTTTGGGTTAAATTTTAAGACAAAAATATTTTTGTCACCAAATTTTGTCACGATAGCCTATATTTCTTGTATTTTGTTTCCTTGTTTAATTATTATTATTATTTTTTTCTTTTTGTGGAGAGGGATTTACTGTGAGAAAGAATAGTAGTTTTGCACAAAATGTCTTCTTGGATAACAATGTTTGCATGCACAAACGGCTTAAATGTGAGAGAGAATAGAGAAACTTCAGTGCGAAATAGAAGATATGGTTTATAGAGATTGTTTTCTCGAGAGAGAAATGAAGATTTGTAGAGGGTGTCTTTTCGGGTCACGACTTTAGTATTTGTGTGTGTGTGAAAGTAAGTGATTAAGGTAAGAGCGTCTCTTAGTTTCTGATGACATTTTAATAAAGAGAAATAATTGGTGATAAAATATTTTCGTCTCAAACTCATATGTTCGTTGCCTAATCAACAAAAATACAAAAACAATGTTGTGTGGGGATGAAGAATTTATTGGTGATGAAATATTTTCGTCTCCTTCAACTTAACCGTATGAGATGAAAATATATTCGTCGCACAATCAATCAAAATACAACACGACACATGGAGAATTTATTAGTGATGAAATATTTTCGTCTCCCAAAACATATCCTTCCGAGACAAAAATATATTTGTCGCCTAATTAACAGAAAGATAAAATGAGCATGAAGGGTTTATTGGTGATGAAATATTTTAGTCTTCCATAACTTATCCTTCCCAGACAAAAAATATATTTGCCACTAAATAAATAAGAAAATGAAATGACATCGTCTAATAAGTTTGGAATTTATTGGTGACGAATTCCTTTTGTTGCAAAAAACTTTAAATTTTGTGACAAAAATGTTCGTCTCCAATGAGCTAAAATAATTGGCGCCAACAAGAAAAAAAATTGGCACCTCTTTTTTTTTTTCTAACGAATTTATTTTTTTGTCTCTTATAGTTTTGAGAACAATTAAAAGAAACGACAAAAGTAATATTTGGTCACGTTTGGGTTACGTTCTAAAACAAAAATAAATTTTATCACCAAATTTTAAAAATTAATTATTGAAAACTACATACTAAACAAGGTAATGTTTTCTATTAATTTTTAAAATTACAAAGTTTTTATTATTTGTTTCTCTGTATTTTTCCTCACCAAAAAAAAAAAATAGCTACATTAATTATCTTTTTTTTTTTTTTTTGTGGAGAGAGGTTTTGACTTTCGATTTTTCTAAAATGGGTGTTTTAGACGGAAAGGGTAGAGTTGGTTCAAACAATGAGAAAAAGTGTTTGCGTGCAAGAGGG